TGCTTGATATTTCTGATGGGAGGGTTGGACAGTGTGATGGCAAGAACAGGTCTTGGCATCTGTGCACGTAGGAGAAGTTGCTGACCTAGACTAGGTTGGAAGCAAAGTGACCAAAAGAAAGGGTTAGATTGCAGGGCTGTTCTAGAAGTGGGGCTCATGGGACTTCCAAGATGGGTTATGTGTAGGAAGTAATGGAGAAGGACCAGTCATGGGGTTGATAGAGAGATGCTGACTGTAAGGATAGGCAGGGATGCCCATGTGAGGGTTCAGGAACCCACTGCCCATCTATGATATCAAACAGGAATGCACCACCATGCTTGGTTTATTTGGTGCTGGGGATTAAATCCAGAGAGGCAGGCAGCCTGAATTCAGTGGTAGAGGGCTTGCTAGCACGTACAAGGCCCTAGAGCAGTGGTTTTCAATGGGGATTGTGATCCCTCCAAGTCAATTTCTAACAATGAAAATACATCCTGAATATTAAATACTTACATTAAGTCATAGCCTGGTGGTGGTGGCTCATGCCTTTAATCCCAGCATTCAGCGGGTAGAGGCAGGTGGATTTCTATGAGTTTAAGGACAGTCTGGTCTCTACAGTGAGTTCCAGGACAGCAAGGACTGTTTCACAGAGAAACTCTGTCTTGAAAAACCAACACTCCCCACAAAAAAATCATAACAGTGAGTTCACAAGCTCTGGACCAAGAGCTAGGGAGCCTGAATGGGACTGACCTAGGCCCTCTACATGTAGATGACAGTTGTGTAGCTTGGTCTCTTTGTGGGACTCCTAGAAGTGGGATCAGGACCTGGCCCCAGTGCATGAGCTGGCTTTTTGGATCCTATTCCCTGTGCATGTGTGCCTAGCCTTGATGCAGAGGGAGGAGCTTGGTCCTCTCTCAACTTGATACACTGTGCTTTGTTGACTCCCATGGGAGGCCTGCCCCTTTCTGAATCAAGGAGGAGTGGATTAGGGGTGGGGTGTAGATCGGAGGTGGGGGGAGAAAATGGGAAGAGAGGAAGGAGGGGAAACTGTGGTTGGTATGTAAAATAAATAAAAAATTAATGAAAAAAGATTCATAAAAGTATCAGAATCACAGTTATGAAATAGCAACAAAAATAATTTTATGGTTGGGGGTCACCACGACATGAGGAATTGTATTAAAGAGTCGTAGCATTAGGAAGGTTGAGAACCATGGCCCTAGAGTGAACTTCCAGTACAATGAAGAAGAAAAGAAAACTTGAACATTGTTTTTCATTTCTTCTATACCCAACCACCATCCCTATCTCCATCCCTGCTGGAGGCAGGAGGAAGGCTCTCTTTTAAGTGGGATGTGGCTGTGTTATCCATCTGTTATCCATCATGTCATCTGTCATCTTCAGGGGGATGGTGGCAGCAGCATCAAATCAGTAGTTCTCTAGCCCTGTTTGCTCATGCTGTGCTGAACAGTGCTTGGCTGATGGACCTCCTCCAAGCTTACAAATCCCTGGCCTACAGCAGGCAGCAGGGATCTCAGTAGGGTACCCTTGCCAAGCAGGCAGTGGGTCTTCTCTGGAGCTGCTGGCCCAGGTTCCCAATGACTGAGCAGGACTTTTATTAGCAGCAGCTCCACCCACCTTGTGCAGGATCAATTATTGATGACTCTTCTGAAGCCACACCAGTGCTCCTGACTGTTGTCTGCAGCCTTTGCCAGGAGAAGGGCAGAGTGCAATGAACCTGTTAGTGAGGGAATGGCCAGTAAGGTGGTCCAGGTTTCCACTTTGCATCATCAGTGGCCCAGAACACCTATAGGTCAGGGATGCCTCCTCTGGTATGGGAAGGAGACCCAGGTCTGCTTTGACTCCCAGGTCCAACCCCTATTATGTATCCCAGAAGGCTAAGACTAGGCAGGCTGAATAAAAAGACTTTCCACAACAGCCTAGGAAGCTGCATCCATCTGGGGCACAGGCTCAGATAGATAGCTGGTAGCTCTGAATGTCACTGATGCATTGGGCTACAGGGAGGAAATGAAGGACATACACTGCCTGGATGGAGGCAATGTGATGGCTGTACTTCGGTCTGCCCATCAGCTTCTCTCTGGGGAAGGCCTAACATATGGGAAGTGACATGTGAAGCCGTAGCAGATGGCAGAGGAGGCCTGGGAGCCCCAGGGGAGGGGGGGCTGTCTCTGGGCAGTATCTGAAGCCAGCCCATCCACTCACTTCTTATTCAGAAGAGGAGCTCCCTAAGCTGAAAATTCCCAGTCCCAGCCTCCCCTGTTGCTGGGTTCTTTTTATGGTTTGTCCTCCACCTAGAATCCCTTGTGAGTATGCCACTGTCTCATAGGGCCTAGAGCTATGTGTGGACAGAGGTGTTTGTTCCCAGCCTGTACTTTTATGGGGTCAACATTCCTTAGTGAGTCTTGTGTGGATTGGGGGATTAATAACTGGAAGGATTGTAGGCTGTAGAAACTCCTGAATAATTAGTATGCTCCATGCCTGTAAATCCCAGCACTTGATAGGCAGAGACAGGGGTATTTTTAGTTTGAGGCTGGCCTAGATCACATAATGGGTCAGTCTGTGTGTCTCAAACACACACACACACACACACACACACACACACACACACACACACACACACACAGGGGTGGGGACAGAGATGGAGAGATACAGAGAGTTGTATATATACCAATCCTGTCTACCTCTATGTTCAGTTACCTAGGTGTTAGATGACCATAGTTCTAGCTTAAGGCACCCCCCTCTCCTGTTCCTCTAGAGAATTGAGTTTATCTGGGAATGGTCTCTATCTCCCAGGCTGTAGTGCTGTGGCTGGATCCCTGTAGTTCATAACAGAACTAGGAAGGTAGAGACAAGCAACCAGGGGCTGTTCTGGTCACTATGGAGCTTGGATAAACACTGCTGTGAGACTAAGGGAACAGCGTGCAGACTCAGGGAACAGGCAATGTTCAATGGGAGAGTCTGAGCAGGGGTATATAAGGTGTCCTGCAAATAAGCCACCAGAAGCATAAGTCAATTTACTGTTTATAACACACTCAGCCTACAGTATGGGGTTTTAGTCACACAGACATATTAAGACAATACTGCTGATTGAGAGAAACATTTGAATCCTTCATTTTCTTTGGAAAACATAGACTCTGTCCTCCTGGGCCAAATATTGAAATTGGAGACTGTTACTTTGAGTCGGGACCCACAGAAACATACTAACACACTGTGGTGGGCAACACAAGGAGAGTTTAATAAACTATAATCTACAGAGGCTTGGGTGTGTGCCAAACAATGGTCTTCTAGCTCTGGAGCTCATGACAAGACACCCTCTGCATCACTGTCCTAGGGTCTGGAAGGATGAGGGGAGGCTTCAGATCACCACTGCCATCTATTTCCATCCCGTGAAGCATAATGCTACACCCACTAGACCCTAATGCAACAACAATGTAACCTGTCCCTAACAGGCCATATGTTGGTGGACCGAGGTAGGGGCCACAGTTCAGAGAAGATCTCACCAAGACCATTTGTGGAAATTCTAAAGTACTGTGGGTGAAAACTAACAAACAGTAGAGGGGCGTGAACCAGCTGACCAGGAGACAAGAAGGTCAAGTGAACTTCAGCCTAGCCACTAGGGAAACTATGTGTTGCTAAAGTGTGGGAAGGCTTGGCATGCACCCACAGTGAGAGACCAGGGCAGCTCATTGGGTAGGTAGCCCATCAGGCAGTGTGCACAGGACAAGGGCACTCTGGAGAGACAAGCCAACAAACATGGAGATTTGCATACAGGATTGGGGGAAAGGACAGCACAGAAGGAATTTTATCAGCTGTTAAAGTATTTTCACTTATATCCTTACCTCCTACTTTAACACCAAACATTTAATTCCTTTAAAGAGATGTTTTACATACTTTTTAAAGTAAAAAAGCAAGCTTGAGCCAAATGTTAGCTCCACATCTGTAACCCCGGCACAGGAGAGGCAGAAGCAGGATTGTTGCAAGCTCAAGGCCAGTCTAGTATACATAACATAACGACACCCTGTTTTAGAGAGAGGGAGGGGAAGAGGAGGGGGAAGTGGGGGGTCGAGAGCTAAAATAAAGCTAATGAATGTTGGTATTGAACAGGAAAATATGCCTGTGTTCTCGGATGTTTGGCCATCGCTGAGTTAATGAATAGTCGTGGAAATGTGTGGTATGCCAGGCACTTACTTAGTAAAGGGCACTGACCAACACAGCTGCCTGCAAATGCTTATGCTTAAGAAGCAAGTGTTCCTGGGTATGGTGGTACACGTCTGTGATCCCAGCCCTTGGGAGATGGAGGGCAAATAAAATCCAAGGTCAGCCTCAGCTACATACAAAGTTGGAGGCCAGCATGGGCTATAGGAGACCCTGTGTTGTGTGTGTGTGTGTGTGGAAGCAGCAGCTAGGAATATTAGGTGTGCTCAACTTCTTATGGCAGGAGTTAGACAGAGATGCACAGGTCTGGACCCAGAGTGGGTGAGGAATCGGGGCAGACCCTGAATCCAAGCAGGGAGCAGTGTCCCTGCTGATGTGCAGGAAGGGATTAGACACGCTAGATTGTGCATGTCCCAGGTCCTCCAGAGATATGTGGAGCATTGCCAACATCCCAAGAGATAGGCAGGCCAGTTGAAGAGACACATGGTAGGTCAGCAGGGATGGACACAGGTAACAGTACGGAACAGTATCAGTTGCCAGAGAGACTCCATGCAATTGTCAGCTCTCAGCACAATCTTGAAGTTTCATCTTCTAATGGGCCAGATGTCTCCCTTCTCATCTGCTGATATGCAGGGCAGGACCATGGGGAATCTTAGAGATGGAGGCAGGCCTCTGCCAGAGGTGCCAAATAGAGCAGAGGGACAGTGGCTATCTAGGTCTGATGCCCTGAGACCTAGAATTCTCAGGTGGGATGGCAGGTGAGCTTTACCGACAAGTCTTGGTGCTTAGAACATGAAGGTGGGGGTTCAGAGTCTTCATCTACGATGAGCAAGGAAGGGCTCCAGGGTGACTGCAGATATGACTGGGTAAGGGATGTGGGCTAACCCCCAGCATCCTGAGTTTGCAGTCTTGAAGCCTCTTCAGACCACAGTGACAGCCTGAAGACCTTGAAGGGAAAAGCGTCATCCCAGTGTGCCCCACAACCAGCCCAACAGTATGGAGGCCCGGCAGCCAGTGGGGGCTGTGCCAAAGAAAAATGACTGGGCCCTGGAGACACAGGCCTTCTCCAGCTGGAAGGCATATCTGCCACAGAGCTTTGGCTCCATGTCACCCCACACGTATGCAGGGAGTAGGTGGTTCTCATCTAACAGCAGCCCACGCCAGGTGGCCTCTTGTTCTCCTTCATCTTGGGTACCTCTATTCCTACAAAGACAGGAAAGAAGATAACGTCAAACAGGCATCCTATAGCTGACATTGGGTAAAGACTGCTCTATTCTGATAGCTGGGCCCTTGAACTTGGTCCCCTGGGCCTGTCCTCCAAAGTGGGAGGGGCCTAAGGAACATATGGGGCTGTAGCATTCAGATAAGCTGGAGGCAAGACACATCTGAAGGTCAGGAGCCTAAGCCTGGCCCAAGAGGAAGCTGTGTGGTGATCAGAGAGGCTGGGGCAGGTGTCTTTGAGTTGGCAGGTGGGATCTCGGAAGCTGTAGGCCCAAGATATGGTTAACAGCTCAAAGGTCCCAATAGGACAGCAAGGGTGGCAAATTAAGAATGGTGGGTGTGGACTTCTGGTCCCCTCTCCTGTTCCTCAGCCCCACCCAGCCTTCTCTGTACGCACGGATTAGGTCTCCATCTCCATCTCCGACCTGGGACTGGGTGTTGGGTCTCTTCTCCAGGTCCTGAAGTACAGACTGCTCAAATGCTAGGGCGGCAACACGACTGAAGAATGCCTTCACGTTCTCTCCTGGGGGCCCATGAGACAGCTATGACTCATGGGGTCCCTGGGTGCACTAAATGCAAGCGCTAGGTAAGGCCATCCTTAGGCCAGCCACGGGCCTTCCAGAGCACTAAGTCACCAGCCCATCCACGGGTGGTAACACAGGGCTGGGTGGCAACCTGGCTTCCCACAGGGTTCTGGTCCCCATCCCTACCCTGCTGTCCCACCCCCTGACCTCCAGCTACTCCCTTAAAGCTCTGAGCCTTCCTTTCCTAGTACTTTCCCTCTCAGTCAGTTGCTATTGAACACTTGCACAACCTGGGACAAACTTGAATGTGTGCCTTCTCTTCAGGAGCTACCCATGTGCTGCTGGCCCTTACATGACATCTGTATGCATCCTTCTAGAGGTCCTGATACCCAACATGAACATTGCTATGTGCAGCAACAACCTCTGCAACTATGTAGAATAACCCTACTTGCCCTACAGTGGGATTCCAGTGAACCTGCTGTTATTGTGACCAAGGAGGGTGGGTGCTTTGGGGTAGATGGAGCTGCTGTGGGTGCTACTGCTGGGAAAGAGCAGCAGATGGCTTCCAGGCATGGGCACTGCCAGGTGTCTGTGGTGGCCTACAGGTGGCACTTCCAGTTTCAATTCATACCCACTCCGTGGCCACTGTCTCTGTGTACCGGAGGCAAGGACTACCAGCCTGATTTATGAGTTCCCATAGCCGTGGAATCTCTCCTGTGCCAAGCACTGCATGTCCTTTCACTTCATCTCCCCAGAAGCCAGGTTTCCCAACTTTTCTCTTTATACTTCTGCATCCTGCATCCTTTAGGTAGGAAATGCGTTTGGGGTGTACTACTCACCGGTTTTGGCTGACACAGACCAGTACTCTGCCTGCATCTCATTGGCCAAGTGTATAGCCTCTGCTTCAGCTTGCTCACAGGCTGCCCCTGACTGGAAGAAACAGTCCTGGCTGACCTGGTATCTTGGCCCTCATTTAGGGGAGTCCCTAGAATGGCCACCTCTCTCACAATGACCCCCAACCCAAGCAGATGGGTGTGGTGGGGTGACCTACTGCAGGGATACTCCTAGTGCAGGGATGGTGCTCACCTAGGTTCCCAGGGAAACCTGAGTCATCCCACCCCTTGGGGAGCGGGGGTGGGGGGTGAGAGGTAGGGGGGTGGGGGTAGGGTGGGAAATGGGAGCTTGAGTACTCTCTTCATAGCATGCTTTGAAGTCCGACACAAGGTGGTATGGCAATACTGGTCACTGTTCCTCAAAAGTGAGCTGCAAACACGGGCACTTTCTGGAAAGTCCCTGGTAAGTTTTACTCTGCTTACCAGGAGATCCTTTTTGGTTCCCACGAGGAAGAGGAAGCAAGAGCCTTCCTCATTCTCCCTCAGTGCATCCTCCAGCCACTGCCTAGAATGGACAGAGAGGAAAAAAGGGACATAGGCAGCCAGAAGGTACAGGGAAGGTACCCTGACCTACACTAACTAAGTGGGATGCTGGTGGGAGGCCAGAAGGGCCTCGGTGGGACCAAAAGGAACTGGGAATACAAAGGCACTGGTCTGAGAGCGGTGAAGACTCTTAGTGTGACCTTTACCCTTTATCAGCTGGAAAAATAATCCCTCTCTCCTTCATAGAGCCTGGGAGATTTGAATGTGACATAGGGAGGAGGGGCTTTGGTCCATTAGGTGACTTATTTCTGGCAGGTGATGACCCTCTGAAATTGGTCATTTGCCCACATCTCTGCCCAATAAAAAATTTCTATCAGGGAGGATTAGCTATGAAATTATTAGGAGCCAAGGTAAAGGTGAAAAGACAGGCCCCTTGTTCAAAATGAAGATTTCCAATATGGTAGCAGCAGGGTGTCAAAGCCAAGGGTGGCCTGCCAGCTTGAGCTCCTGAGCAGCAGATGGGAATAAGCCTTTAGGAGTGAGTGGGGACCTGGACAGTAAGTGCCCATTGTTCTGGGTCCAGCCCAGAGGCTGTGGTTTGGGAGCCCTTCCAGGCAGCTTCCAGTCCAGGTGATATTCAGAGACATACAGATGGGTATGGGGTTACTTGCCTGGTGTGTTCCAGCGTGTGAACGTCAGTGAGGTCAAAGGCTGTGATGATCACTGGACATGGGGAAAGCCAACAGCCAATCAGCGACAGGTGTGATGGCAGGGGCTTCCCTAGGTATCCCCTCAGATCACAAGGAACTACTTGGGGGGCACTAGTGGAGACTAGCCAGAGATCACCCTGTGGTGGTCCCCTTGGACCTGCCTCCCCTCCCAACCCTCCAAACCTGTACCCAGCAGCACAGGGAGGGGCACAGTGAAAGGGTCTGAAGCATGTGAACTCTGACAAGGCATCTTCTGCCACTTGTGCCCAATGGGCTTGGGTGAGGGCTGTAAGTGTGGAGAACCTGCTTTCCCAGTCTATACAGTGATGAGAATGGCACCCTTAGCTGTCAGCAGGGACACTGTTTTTAAATGCTGTTGGTCTAGGGCCTGACCCTGGGCAGACTTTTAATTGAAGGATGGGGATTAGTAACAACCAGTTACTTTTGTGGTGCTACATGGGCAGCAAACAGTCAGGTATCTCTGTGGTCAGTTCTTTTCATCATAGAGTTTGCCCTGGATTCCCAAGGGGAAGCCCACAGGAGGATGGTCCAGGCAGAAAGAAGTGTGCTCTCTGCTGCCCTACTGGGAAAAAGACCACACTGGACAAGGGGCTTCTGGGCACTTGGGCTAATGATAATCCTGCCAGTGACGGGCATGGCGAATACTGTTTACAAAGTGGCCTCGGCACCTCACACCACTCATTATAGGGAGGCAGCAGCCCCTCAGGAAGAAAGGTTAGGAGAGGGGATAGCTATAGGAGGCCTCACGGACATGGCCAAGCTAGAGGTTTCAGCCACAGCCCAGTTACAGCCTGATGCCCCCTCTTTACACCCGGATGAAACTGCAGGGATTCCCATACCACTGCTGAGAAGACATAATTTTGAGCCTGCTTGGGGTCCTCCTGATGGTTTTCCCACCTCTTACTAGATCCTACCTCTGTCTCCTTCCTGGGGACTTCATGTTGCCATCTCTGCTGACTTTGAGCCCTGCTCAGACCCCAGCTGCTGCCCCTAGCCATACTGGCAGTGGGCAGTGAGGCACCCCTCTAGGACCTGCCAACCCTGCTGGGTCCACCTGTCATTCCTCTCTGGCCTAGCGCCCTCTAGCTAAGATGGGAGAAGCCTCTCCTCATCTTCACCTGGAATATGAGGCCATCTCTCTTTTCTGGGATCCACACGAATACTCTTTTTGAGTTGGAAACTGGGGCTGAGGCTGCCTGCACCTGATACTCCAGATTCCCTAAGGGTGGGAGTGTCAAAGACAGCCAGGGTCTAGTCATCTAGGCAGCTTCTTCATCCCTAAGCCCTGGCTACAGTGCTATCCAAGTGGCTCCTGGAGCACAACAGTGTTTGTGCAGATGACATAGGTTAAGAGCTCCAGTGTCAATCAGCTGCTCACCCTGGGCACCGCGGTAGTAGGCAGATGCAATACACTTGAACTTCTCCTGCCCGGCTGTGTCCCAGCTGTGAGGCAAAGAGGGAGATGGGAAAACAGTGGGAGCAGGTTAAGCAGACACAGTATTCTAAGGCAATGGAATAGTGATATCATAAGATCGTAGGACCTACATGAGCATGTGACCCAGCTCTCCGACCCCACCTCCCTGTAATCCCTCCTGGGTTCTTTACTCAGATCATAGTGTCAGTAGGGGAGAAGGTGTAACGCTGCAAATTGCCTTACCCAGATAAACAAAGTTACAGCCCTTCTGAGGGTGACATTATAAAGGACCTTATATGTTCTATAACAGATCAATGCTGGGGTTCCAGGGCAGGCCTTCAGCACAGTAACTCCCCATGTGGGAACTGGGCCTAACAGGGACACAGTTTGCATTCCTTGAGCATCTAGTTGGGCTCTAGAGCCATGAGAAAACGAATGGAATACCAGGTTAATAGTGTGTGCCATGGGTACAAGATGGAAGAAGGGAAGGCAACATGCTGAGATCTACTTGTGTGGGCTTAAACGGTTGTTAATATGCAGGGATGATCCTGAAATCCAAGCTACAATCCATCACTTTTTAAAGTCAACAGATCGACACTTAATATTTCTCAGTAAACTAAATATGGTATCAGTGATCTGAATTTGTTTTTGAGCAAGTCGGCATAATGAAGACTTGTGGGCTATATTCCTTCATTTATTCATTCATTTTTTTTCATCTCTGAAGAAGCCTCCAGGTGGGGAATGGGCATAGAGTAAGCTAGGCAGGTGGCTGGCAATGGCCTCAAGAGTCTGTGGCCAGGCAGTGCCTACTTTATATTGGGCCCTAATTAGAGGCTTGGAGCTACAGTGAGAGGCCAGTTGCTGGCCACTGTCTGTACAGCTGAACATGGCTGCTCCCTCTAGATCAGACCCTTGCTCCTCTCAGCTTTCCAGAACCCTCAGTCACGAAGCCCTGGATTTTCATAGCGTCTTTTGCTCTGAGCCGACCCCGTGCTTGCCCTTGGACAGGATGTATTATCATCTGGCTCCAGGATTATACTGGGGCACTGTCTCCTTGGAGATGGGAGCTGACACAGGAGCTGAGAGCTCAGCCTAGGCAGGGCACAGAGGAATAAGACTAGAGCCAGGGAGGAAGACAAGGAAGGGGACTAGAACAAAGGCTTGGTGAATGGGGGCCAGCAAGAAGAGACTGCTAAACAAGACAGCAGGGAGGAGGGAGGGGCCTCACCAGGGAGCACAAGGGTCTGGTAGCTGCAGGCCTGCAGATCTCTGGGGAGTTGGGAGAATAAGGCCCAAAGCACACAGCACTTTCACCAGGGTAGAAGATGGTGAACCCTGAGAAGGGCCTTGCATTGACATGAGGGAGAGTGAAAGCGGTTAAGTAGGCAGAAACCAGTGGGCCACTGAGAGGCAAAGCAGGCACGGGCTGGTAGAGAAGACTGATGGGGGAGAACAATATGGACAGAGGAGGTACACATATACAGAGAGGAGTGACAGGATGATGGAGAATGTCAGGCTTGAGAAAGGGATGAGGGCAGGTGGCCTCCAGCAGAACCCTACTCACCCGAGGCTGGCACACAAGGACAGATTATCCTATTTGATAGCTGGGAATAGAGAATAGAGCTCAGGAGAAAATTGTCACACCTGCTGCTTGGGGAAGGAGACTGAGCCTTAGTAAGAAGCTATTGGGGAGGAGAGAGATTGGAAGAGCAGATTGGGCTGTCAAGACCATTCCCAGATCTGCTGACCAACATTCGGCAGCTGTGAGGATGGAGAGAGAATCTAGGGACCCATAAAACACAAAGCCTGTTTTTTTTTTTTTTTTTGTTTGTTTGTTTGTTTACAACCACCCAGGGCCATTCTTGTCCAGACACATCCTTGCCGAGCACCATGAGGTAAAGAGGAAAAAGATCTAGGTAAGGTCTTTCCCCAAGGGAAATCTCGGAACCACATCAACAGAGACTTACATCTGGAGGCTGTAGGGAATCCCCGCAATCTCAAAGCGCTCAATCTCAAAGTCTACCCCAATAGTGGCCTTGTAATCACGATCAAAAACATTCTTGCACAACCTGTGGGAGGTGAGGAAGTCATCAGAGGTCCCCTCACATAAATGTGTGGAGATGCCCACAGCAGCGGAAGTCTGCAGGGAATAAGACCCCCAGTAGGAAATCAATAAGTGGTGGTGGCTGGCAGTGGTGGAGCTCACCTGTAATCCCAGCCCTAGGGAGGGAGAAGCAGGTGGATGTCTGTGAGTCTGAAGTCAGCCTGGTCTACACAGGGAGTTCTGGGCTAGACAGGGCTAAAAAAATGATACCCTGTCATAAAAAAAAAAAAAAAAAAAAAAAAAAAAAAAAAAAAAAAGAAAAGAAAAGAAAAGAAAAAAGAAAAAGCAAAATACAGCAAAGAAAGTCATGGGGCACAGAGGCTGTAGGTGTATGGGTGTGTTAATCAGCTTTCTATCGTTGGAACAAACTCCTGAGATGATGGCAACCCATGAGGTGAAGTTCATCTGAATTCGTAGTTCTAGAAGCTTCAGTCCATGTTGCTTTGAACTAGTGGTGAGGCAAAAAGGTCCCCCATGGCCAAGAAGCAAAGGAAAGGAATGGGTTATGGGTTTGGGGCACAGTGTCCCTTGTTCCCTTCACGTGTACATCCCAGTGAACTAACGAGCATGCACAAGGCTCAACCTCTTAAAAGTTCTGTCACCTAGCCAGGCAGTGGTGGTGCATGCCTTTAATCTCAGTACTTGGGAGGCAGAGGCAGGCAGATCTCTGTGAGTTGGAGACCAGCCTGGTCTACAGAATGAGTTCCAGGAAAGCCAGGGCTCCGCAGGAAATCCTGTCAAAAAAAAAAAAAAAAAAAAAAAAAAAAAAAAAAGAAAAGAAAAGAAAGAAAAAGTACTACTACCTTACAAAAAAATGCTGTAAGCTGGAGACCACAGGCCTTTTGACTCAGGGACCTTTGAGAACTACTTAGCCAAACCATAGCAACAGGGTGGCCAATAGGAATGACGTGGGGGAGGGGGTGTATCAGCCCAGAAAGCCAGCACTATAAGACAAATAGTGATAGAAATTAAGGGTCCACTCGCAGGGAGGGTAGTGCAGGGGTCCCACAGGAACAGTGCAGTGTGATGAATGCTAAGCAATTAGGATGCTATACATGCTTAACAGTCACTACAATGGCCCTGTGTGAGCAAGTGCACACACACATGTGAGGGCGTTTTTCTTTTATTGCTCTCCATCTTAGCTTTTGAGACATGGTCTCTTACTGATTTGGCTAGACTGGCTGAACAGCAAGTCCTAAGGATCCTCTTATCTCTGTCTCCCAGCGCTGGGATCACGGGCATGCGCTGCCATACCTGCCACACACTTTTCCCTGGGTCCTGAGGATTAAAACCAGGTTTGGGTACTTCAGCAAGCAATTTATTGACTGAGTCAATCTTCTGAGCTCCCAATCTTCCTATCTCTAAAATTTTATTTATCTACTTTTAAAATTGTGTGTGTGTGTGTGTGTGTGTGTGTGTGTGTGTGTGTGTGTGCACATGCGCGCGTGCGCGCGCACAAGCATAGGTCTCTGTGGTGCCCAAAGGAGTCAAATCTCCAGGAGCTGGAGTTGAAAGTGGCTATGAGCCACACTATGTGAGTGCTGGGATTCAGATTCTGTGTGTGGCAGAGGAGTGCCATTGGGTCATTTTTCCAAGTCCCTCTCCTTGACTTTTGCCACGCCCTTCAAATGGTTGGTTTCCCAGACTAGAACTGTGTTATGTTCCAAAGTCACATGCTGTTTGGGGCTCTCAGACAAAGGTATTATAACTGGGTGCTGGGAGGTGGGGCTAGCCTGACTGTGAGGAGGGTGGCAGGACTTACCTATGAATGAGGCTAGTCTTTCCCACATAGAGATCGCCAACAACAACCACCTTGGAGAGCTTGAGCCTGGAGGAAATATGTCGGTATCATCCTGGAGAACGGTATCAACAGTGTCTTCAGTATATCCAAGGTTTTCCTTACCTGAACTATCTGATTGGGTCACCCTTCCATCCTAGATGCAGGAAGGCCTATCCTACTAAGCTGCTCTCTCCTCCCTCTCCAGTCCTGGGGAGCAGGAGAACTTATATTTGTTTTGGTAACTTTGCTACCCCTATGGCTATATATCCTATCCTGATAATTAGCAATGGGCACGAGGAGAGGCTGAGCCATGAGCTGAGGGTTAGAGAAGAAAGAATCAGAAGTACTGTGAAAACAACATCAGAGAAAAAATGGACCTGTGCTGAAGCTGCCCTTCAGCTGAAAAGTCATCTGGACGACATTCTGAGAAACGGAAATTGTGAGCGGCCTTGGTTCAGCCTGTGTTCAGTTTTGCTCACGTTTCATTTACACATGCATTTATGCTTCTGTTCTTCCTACATCTTCCACAGCCTTGTGGCATGGGCTTACCCAACAGTGCCCGTGTTCCTGTTCTGGCAGGCAGTGCTGACCTGGCTGTGAAAGTACTCCTTCAGCTGCAGGCAGGCATCAGGTGTGTAACACTAGAAAAGGACAGACAGACATGCAGACATACAGACAAGCAAGCAGACTGTCCTGCAAAGCCACATTTTGGTTATACAAACTGGGCATCAGAGTGTGAGACCTACTTCCTATCCCTCCTTCTCTCCTACAACTTGAGGCTCGCAGCCTCATTAACATTCCTTGGCCCTGGCAATGCCACAGGCTGTGGGGTAGGAAGTGTGAACCCCTTTCTCAGACAAGGAAACTGAGGCACATAGAATAAAGAGAAAGAACTTGCCCAAGGAAGCATCACGTTGACCCAGCCTGACGTGATTAATAAATCCACAGATCTGGAGTGGCCCTAGGATGCAGGGCAGACATAGCCAGCTGTGGCTTGTGACCCTTGTGTAAGGGAACTTCATCTTCTTCCCTGGGCAGACTCACTAGGCCTGGGAGCTCTGGAGCCTTGCAAGGGCAGCTGGGTCAAATCTTAGCTCTAGCCCAACTGTGTTGATGTCAAGCAGTATTCCCTGTCTCTCTGAGCCTCAATGTCCTCCTCTGTGAATAGTGTCCTTTGTCCCATGAGACTGGGCCTGCTCCCCTCCTCCACTGATTATACTTCCTTTCTCTTCAACTCTTGAGACACCAGCCTGAATCATCCCTGGTTACCACGGTCTCACTCCATTGGGAAAGCAATGGCCCAAGTGCACTATAAAAAAACTGGGGAAACTCTCCAAGGTCTGAGGTACAAAGGCTTTCTCTGTCAATGTGTGAGAAGGAAGTTAGTTAGAGGTTAAGATAAAGAACGGTGAAGAAGCCATGGCCGTAGACAGGGACACCCACAGCCTGCAGCCATCCTCCTCTTCCTTCCTAGTTTTGGCACAGAACCTAAAAGACACAAAAAGTTTCCCTTCACACTGGTTCAAGCCACACACAAACATCAAGGAGCAACAGGGCCGTGGTGGTTTCAAAGAACATGGCCCCGGAAGGAAGTGGCACTATTAGGAGGTGTGGCCTTGTTGGAGGAAGTGTGTCATTGTGGAGGCGGGCTTTGAGGGCTCATAAATGCTGAAGATACTGTCCAGTGTCTCAGACCATCTCCTACTGCCTGTAAGCCAAGATGTAGGACACTCACCTACCCTCATTTGCCTCTCCAGCACCATGTCTGCCCACACACCACCATGCCCCACTATGACGATAATGGACTAAACCTCTGAACTGTAAATGAGCCTCCACAATTAAATGTTTTCCTTTAAAAGAGTTGCTGTGGCCAGGTGTTGGTGGCACACACCTGTGATCTCAGTACTTGGAGGCAGAGGCAGGCAGATCTCTGTAAGATGGAGACCAGCCTGGTCTACAGAGCTAGCTCCAGGACAGGACAGGCTCCAAAGCAATACAATACAGAGAAACCCTATCTGAAAAACCAACAAAAAAAAAAAAAAAAAAAAAAAAAAAAAAAGAGTTGCTGTGGGTTGGCTGGGCAGTAGTGGGCAGTGGTGATGCTCACCTTTAATTCTAGCACTCAGGAGGCAGAGGCAGGCAGGTCTCTGTGAGTTGGGGGCCAGCCTGGTCTAGAAAGCTACACAGAGAAACCTTGTCTCAAAAAAAAAATTAAAAGTAAACAAACAAACAAAAAACCCAAAACTTGTCTTGGTCATGATATCGCTTCATAGCAATAGAAGTTCTAAGACAAGGGTCTTTTTTTTAATTGAAAATAATTTTTTTTCATATAATGCAGTCTAATTATGGTTTCTCCTCTCCCTACTTCTCCCAGTTCCTCTTCCCCTCCCCTCCCATCAGGATCCATACCCTTTCTGTATGGATCAAACAGGCATCTAAGGAATAATGATAAATAAAAACAAGCAAATTAGAGTATGACAAAATAATAACAAAAGTGAACCAGAGAAAAAGCACAAGAAACACATACAAAATCAGAGACACACATATTCTCATACAGAGGGATCCCCCAAAACTCCAAACTTGAAGCCCTAACATATACATAAAAGGCCTGTAAGGTGTGTGTGTGTGTGTGTGTGTGTGTGTAGGCTCCGACTTAACATTATGAGACAAAGAACCTTTGTCCAAAGATGCCAGTGAGTTAGTTTTCTGTTGGCCATCTACTGCTGGGCATGGGGCCTACCCTTAAGAGTGGCTTGTTTCCCCAGTGAGACTCCCTAGGAGAAAACTAATTTTTCATTTGTTAGTGGCTCTCAATGCACAACAGGATATTAATGTTACCTTTCAGAAATATTTTCTGCATGGAGGGACTTACAAACAGATACCCCCACCCCCACCTGCCCCACCCATATTAATTTTTTTTTATTTATTTATTTATTTATTTATTTATTTATTTATTGGTGATGCTAGGGTCTTAACCAAGTGCTCCACCAGTATACACACTTGACTACAGCTTCCTTTTTTTTTTTTTTTTTTAAATTTTACCTAACAATTTTCTTTGTCCCTCCTTAGCACTGGGAAGAGGTGTCTCATCCCTCTTATCCATACTGAGGAGCATCACCTCTACCAGCCTCTCTATGGACACTAATGCTGACCTTCTGCTCTTACCAACAGCTGCAATGCCTGGCCTTTCACATACTCTCCCTTCATGCCAGGACATACACAGAAATGAATTTCTAGAAGTGGGATGGCTATATAATGGGCAAAGGTATTAGTAATATGGGTAATATGGGTAAATACTATTCCACTGTCCCCCAGTGAAGGTTAGTTTAGCATTCTACACTGCGGTTAACATTAAACTACAGTACAGATTGGATTTTTCAGCAAAAACCAAAGGCAGAGAGGCAATGGAGAAAGCCCTGGATTTGGGGATCAGAAATTAGAACACCATTTTTTAAAAAGATGGATCCTATTACACAGTCCAGGCTGACTTCCCACTTACAACCAATGCTGGAACTACAAGTGTGTTCCCTCAGCCCCCCTTGCTGTGCTAGGGATAAAAATTTACTCTGAGGACTGTACAAGTGGCTTATAACCTCGATGCCACACAACTACCTGTTGTCACTACTGGCCTGCTTTAGAGGAACTCAACACCCAGTGTTTTAGCTTCTCAGACATAAGAGCAACTTCTGGGATTTACTTGCTTTGTCTCTGGGGGTGAAGGCATGTTAATAAAGCTGGACATGGCTGAAGGGTTACATCAACAATGAAGACAAAAAGGACTGGGAACAATGGCACATTCATGTTATCCTGGGACTGGAGAGACTGAGGCAGGAGGATTGCAAATTTAAGTCTAGTCTAGGATACTTAGTGAATTCCAGGTTTGTTTGGGGGTAACAACCTTTTGCCAAAGCAATCCAGACCCAAAGGAAACCAAAAAAAAAAAAAAAAACCCAAAAACCAAACCAAAACAAAACAAAAAAACCCCAAAAACAAACAAACAAAAAAAACCAAAACAAAAAACAACAGCAAAGATGTTCTCATGACTGTACCTTAGGGAAGCTGGTGATGATGCGGTCCTGGCTCACAGGAGGCCCCAAAGGGGTCCAAGAGGACCTCATTCTTCCAGTGTTCTGTAGACTGAATCAAGGGGAAAGAGTATTTCATAAATATATGTGGTTAGTTTCAGCATTATGGCCCAGCAGATCAAAGTGGAACGGAATACGCAAGACGTGATAGGACAGGATTCTGATTGGACAAGAGATCCACAGCCTCAAAAGGGATCTGCTAATCTGAGCCCACATGAATAACCCTATAAAGTAAGTAACTCCAAACAACCAAGTTGCCTCTTATTGTTTCTTCTTTTCTTTCTATAAAACCAAACTCCTAGGCAGGTGTAGTAGTAAAAGGAGCCTGTATACTCAGCACTTGGGAAAGCAGAGGCAGAAGATGGTGAGTTCCAACGTGCTTGGGAAACACAGATGAGAACCTGTCCTAAAAAGGCCCAAACCAAACAAACAAAAACATGAGAACACTCATTTTATTTTACAGGGTGAAGGGTCGCCCAACCCCAGATTCACAAGGTCAATTATGACTAAATTTGTTACATTTGCCTTTGGCAAGAATTGGAAAGCCTTATGGATTCTCAAAATGCACCTGTGAGTTTCATCACTTCTCATCCCTTTAAAAACACATCTGGGCCCCCATCCCTATCAGCAACAGTAGGCAGAGGCCAATCAATCTGTAGGCAGCTCAGCTCATACCCCATCTTGCCCAGAGTCAAGAGGTGAGTGTCTAGGAGGTGGGGCTCCTTCTCTGGGCTCATTTCATCGGCATGAGGGAGTCATGGAAAAAACCCTGGCTATGGACTGGAGTGGGGAGGGGTCTCCTGTTTAGTGTGCTTTAACATGGGAGCCTCTGAGTGGTATCATGACTTTAGGTTCCGGCCCCTTTTCCTGATAGTCCCCACACCACCCAGTCTGGCCCCTCAAGCCTAATGTCCTCCTCATCTGACTCGACTCCTCCAGAGGCTGGCCCAGGTTGGACGCTCAGTGAGAAAGAGCAGGCCTGCAGGCCACAGTCAGGTTTCGGGGTAGCAGGTGGGCCGGACAGGACAGCTTGAGTACCATAACCTCCGGGTTGCATCCCCAGCCAGGAGGGTGAGTGGACTCACCAAAGCTGCAAAGACCGATTCCGGGCGCGCCGGCAGCAGCAAATCACTACAGCAACGCTGGCCTCGGCCTCGCGGGACTGGCTCTTGCCTCTTGAATCCCGACGTCAGGGGCGGGGTCTGGATCCTCCTCTAGTCCGTGGTAATTGGCAGCACTGGGCCCCCGCGCGGACCCATCACCATAGCAACGAGAGCCTCCCGGGGCGCAGAGCTCTGTACCGCCTGCTCTGAGACTTCCGGACTCCACTGGAGCGCCCAGGCTCACCATGACAACCAGGGCGGTGACGATCAGGCGGGGCCAGTGAGTGAAGCCTGGTCTCTCAGGATGGACTCTGGGTCAGGGTGAGGGGGTGAAGGGTTGGCTGGAGGTTTACTCTGGCTATCTTGGTGGGCCGGGTTGTGACAATCCCCAAGAGGAGTCTTGGTATTGGATTGAAGCCCAGCATCCTCCCCGTGGCAAGGGAAGGGCCTACCTCATGCCTACAATCTGCCTGCCTTACCGCATCAGTTTGAATTTAATGCTATTTGGAAATCATGTGCCTGGCTTCTGGCACTCATGCTGAAAACAAAACAAAACAAAACAAAAACAAAAACAAAACAAAAAAAAAACAAAAAAACAAAAAAACCAACCAAACAAACAAACAAAAAAACCCAAACCAATTTCCTCCATTAATGGATGTTTAAAAGATGACTCAAGTTACTGGGCTCCTTCGAGCTAGTTTCTGTTGAAAAGCGAGGTGTGGGGTACAGGCTGTATTCCAGAGACTTTAGAACTCTTACCAGACACTCCCTCCTCCAAGAAAACTACAAAGCTTCATTCCAAAAGATTTGCCTAGTGAGTTAGAAATAGAAGTGAACCCAGATTTTCTGACTCCCAGCCTAGCGGTGTTCACCACACGTTCCTAAAATAAAACTAGGGCAGTCTTTAGAGAGACACTTTAGGACTTGATCCTCTGAAGGACAGCAGCAGGTAGACTTGTAAATATAGTATGAGACCTTTGGTAGATCTATTGCAATCATCTTTAATGCAACAACAGGATATGTCCTGGAGACTGATGCTTCTACTTGATGTCTTGGTTAAAGAGTTTCACTGTTCACAGTTCAGACTTAAAGGGTCTTCATACCTCCAAACCTCAGTTTACTTATCAGATGGCCCATCATTGAGGATGATGTTGCTGGAGACTTGGTTTCTTTTAGCATAGATATAATAGAAAGTAGACATGGGTATGTGCAGGCAAGACTCTAATGAGTTTATGACTAGGGAGTGGAAATGGGAAAGGACCGATAGATCACCTCCCCCCATTTGGAACAAAATGACATATATGCTTATATCTGTTTGCTAGGGTGGGTTAGCCACAAATAGTCATGACCATGCTGGCAAAGCCCAGCTGCAATGTTTTTTAAAATTGTTTGTGGCAAGCCCTCATGTAGTCTAGGAGAAACTCGAAGTTTCCATGTTAATGGCCCTGACCACCTTTATCCTGTTGCCCCCACTCCCCACATGATAGGATAATAGGCATCTGTACCATGTGCCTAGTGTCTTCATGTATATAAGGACATGAGTGTGGGGGTGGTAACTACGGGATTCTAGGTGTTTAAGTTGTAGCAGCTATTGGAGAGATCAGAAAGGCAGAAGACCATCTCCCACAATCAATCTCCATGCAGGGACAGAAAGAGTGTCACCCAAAGGTTAAGGCTGCCCCATCTTTTCATCCCTTCCCAATCACCCATCCAGATATTCATAGACCCCAAGAAGCAGTCTTTGTCAAAAGTAGCCTTCCAATCCCTGAAAAGTAATCTAACACTTGTTATTATAACCCATAACCAGGGGTGCTCTCTAAAGCAAGCCAGTGGGAAACTATATTAAATGTGTGATATCTGATCATCATTGTTGACAAGGTTGAGAATTACCCCTAGGTAGACACCTCTGACTGTGTCTGTAGGGACGTTTTTCAGGGAGTTTTGACTGACAAGAGAATACCCATCATGTCTATGAGTTGAGTACCAGGTGGGCGCCAGCCTTCGGCGCTCCTACCTGCTTCCTGTTCCAGCAAGTTAGGAGATGGTGAAGAGTCACAGCTGAGAGTCACTTTAGCCATCCCTTCCCATAGTGATAGACTGTATCTTCAATACACGAGCTGAAATAAATAATAATCCCTCAGCTTGCTTTTTGTCAGATTATTTTGTCATACTAACAAGTATCCACTGCACCCAAATATGTGACCTCTCTCATCTAGTCTACAGAGCGAGTTCCAGGACAGGCTTCAAATCTACAGAGAAACCCTGTCTCGAAAAACAAAAAACAAAACAAAACAAAAACCAAAAGCATGCAAAACGGAGACCCAAAGCATGCAAAATACACAGCAAAGAGAAGGGCCTAAATAAGTCATTTTCTTTCCCATCAGTACCATAAAGGCGAGTAGTCTTTGTTCTATGTAGTAACATTGTTAAAATATTATTGTTCTTCCATTCTCTGCTGGGCTTAGCCCCAGGCTTTTTGCGCCTGCGCATTGGTCCTCTAAGGCGATGACCAGAAAGCGCAGACGCTGGCAGTCTCCTAGCAACCAGGTCGCTTGGGAATGGAATGAGCGCTCTGGCTGGCAGAGACCAGGACTAAAGCAAGTGAGGCAGCTGCAGCGGGTAGGTATCTGGCATAGGACATGGGGTGCTTCCTGACCTACCCAGTTCCGTTCACGGGGCTCACGCTCCCATACCCTGGGTCTCGCGGCTGGATTCTTGTAGTGTGTGCCCTTTACGGGAGGGCAGCCCCTGTCCTAGGACCATGATTCCCTGGAGTGGAGCCCATTTCAGAGATGGCTGCCACCTTCCCAGCCTGGCCCCTTTTCTTCCCTTCTTGGCTGGTACCAGAGTCTGGCTTGTCGTTTACTTCTAGAACTTCCTCTCTTGCCACTAAATGCAATAGTGATCAAATAACCACAACCAATACAGTTCAAGTTCTGTTGGCCTGGCTCTTGGGTCTCAGTTAAATCACAACACTGGAAGTGCAGGAAGGTAGCACTGTTATTACTTAATTTTCTAACTGCAGAGACACACTGGAGGGAATGACTTGCCAAAGGTAACCCATAGCCTGGACTCTGGACTATATCCCGAGAGAGAGAGAGAGAGAGAGAGAGAGAGAGAGAGAGAGAGAGAGAGAGAGAGAATAAAAAAATCATTCTTTAACCTTCATCCCTCCTTTCAAATATGTCCTATGCATGTGAATATGTGTCTTTGACATGAAAGAGCAAGACCTCTGTTTGAAAAGCTTCTAGCTTTATCAACTCCCTAGCCAACATATATTTCCTTATAAATGTGGATGACTCTTTATTGAGTGGTTTAGTTAGGTGCCAGTTAGGTATTAGTCATGGCTGCCACTAGTTAAGCAGGGTCATCAAAGGAGACACCATCTTAGTTTTTGCTTGGCTGTTTTTCTTCTTGGTGCCTGTGACCAAGGTACCCATCTATCAAGTATCCCAAGCAGTTCCTTCTGTCATTAAGGACTGAGATTTGCAGTTTGGGTTACTTACCTGTGCCGTGACCTTGAGATATTTCACCAGCTTCTGTGTGCTCATCGGTAAATCAAAGTGAAAGTATCCACCTGTGTTTGTCTTCACAGGCAGTTTTGGGCTGAGTTGGCTGTCTTCTACATGATAATAGTAATAACGACAGGTTTTTAATTAATTATTTTTTTCTTTTATTAGTGGTTTCTACAGAGTTTTTAGAGCCCTTTGTCAGGTCTGGAAAGATGGCTCATGCCCGGATCTCCATGTACATGCCTCCTGACATTGACCCCACAAAGGCTGCCATTGCTTATGGCTGTCGAGCCTTGCCCAAGCTTAATGAGGAGCTGCGATCAGAGACTCTCCTGACAAGGCAGAAAGCCCTAGTAGCTCTGTGTGACCTCATGCACGATCCTGAGTATGTCTACGAGGCCATCAACATAGGTGAGAATTGGGGTGTGGCTCAGACATTGGATGGTGTCAATAGAAGAGTTGCTACTTATTAAGTCTGATTTCAGGCCATCAGTACCCCTAAGTGCAATACTACCTGCAAGAGAGAGAACATTTTCAATCTACAGATGTGAAAAATGAGTGTTAGGAGATCAGCATGAGTCTAAGGTTGCCTAACTGAAAAATTCAAAAGGAGGGGCTGGAGAGATGGCTCAGTGATTAGGAGCACTTGCCACTTTTGCAGAGGACGTGAGTTCAGATCCTAGTACTCAGATCAGAGAGCCCACAACTGTCTACAACTTGAGCTCCAGGGCATCTGGGACTTCTGCCCCATGTGTCCCCTTGCACTCATGTGACAAACTTACTTGCAGACTCACACACCTACACATAATTTAAAATTATAAGTAAATCTTTAAACATTTAAGCAGGATCTTTATACACTAAATCTGGTACCCCCTGAATCTAGCTGATGCAAGGGCGCATGACTAGTTTGTGGAATGTCTCTTTTTTAACTTTGCTTTTTATATTTTCATTATGTGTGTGTGCCTATGGGCGGGTATGTGTTTGTGAGTGCAAGTGATGGTGGAGACCAGAAAAGGGTATCAGATCTCCGGGGCTGAAGTTATGGGTGGTTGTGAGCTGTCTGATGTGGGCACTGAGACTCGAACTCAGGGTCCTCTACAAGAGCAGCATGCATATGGCAGGTTTCCAGTCCGACCTCATGTCTCTCCTGAGATCAAAGAAATGTCAAGGGCAATTTTCTTAGCCCCAGGGCTGACTACAAGAGGAGGAACTAGTAGGAAAAATGAGGGGTTGGGAACTAAGCTCAGTGGTAGAGTGCTTGCAAGCACAAGGCCCCTGGATTCAATTTTCAATTCCAGGAAAAAAAAAAAGACAAAATAACAAAAAACAAAGATAAAAACAAAACAAAACAAACCCTAAAATTATTGGCTCACACAATGCCAGGTGTTGGTGGCACACACCTTTAATCCCAGCACTTGGGAGGCAGAGGCAGGTGGATCTCCGTGAGTTCAAGGCCAGCAGCCTGGTCTACATAGTGAGTTCCAGGACAGCAAGGGCTACATAGTGAGACCCTGTCTCAAAAAGACATGAGAGAGAGAGAGAGAGAGAGAGAAAGAGAAAGAGAGAGAGAGGAAGCGATTAATGAGATAGGCCCTGGTTGTGAACCCGCTCATCTGTGGTACTGACTTAACTCCCCCAAACCCAAAGTACAGACCCAAAGTACTTTCCTGTTGCCAAACACTGGGTCACATGTTGACTTCTGGCCAATCTGGTGGACTGGCAAATGTTCAAAAGGTTTCTTGTGTCCACAGGCTGCCTGGAGAGCCTGAAGGCCCTACTGACGGATGATGATAATCTGGTTCGGATAAAGACCACCGAGGTGCTGTACATCATGGCCACCCATAATGTAGGCAGGTGGGCAACTATTAATGAAATCCAAGGTCCCAATTAGACACTGTACTGTTCCCTTGTATGACCCCAAGTGCTTCAAATTTTATCTGTAGCTCTGGTCTCAGGTGGTACTTCTATATGCTGATGACAATTCTCTCTGCCGAACTGTTTTGGTTGTCTCTAGGGCAGCTTAACAGGATTCTGCCCCAAACCCTTTTCTTGGCACTGGGGATTAAACCCAGGGCCTGGTGCATACTACACAGATGCTCTAGCCCAGAGCTGCAGAGCTGTACTCTGGTTCTGTTCTGACTTTTAAGTTAGCTCCTGGTTCCCACCTTCCCACGCTAAAGGCAGGAAGTTCAGATCCAACATCTGCAAACACTTTGCCATTCCTAAATCCCTGGTCTTTGATCCTCACAGGGGGCGTGGCTTCATCTTCTGTCTGAATGGGTCTCACCTCTGGCTGAGACACTGAGGCATAGTGTATATATGTATAATACCTGCAAATGGTGCTCTCCTATGTCAAGTCTCATTATTTGCATTTAAGTGCTGTTTCTCCTTGCTAGTTTAGTTAGAGCCCTGGGGTGGCAGTTGGGGCAGGGGGCCTCCTCCTCACATTAGCTGAGCTCACTGTCTTGAGTAGGGAACACTAGTTGTACTTGGTATCAAAAACAGAATCCTAAGTAGGGCTATAGATCAGCGGCAGTGCACATGCCTACCACATAGAGGGTCCCTTGTTCCACCTCCAGTACTGAGAAAAAACAGCAGAACATCAGACCACCCCACCATGCCCTCTCCCTAGTCTCCTGTATAAACACCACTGTCATTGTATAGATGCCCACAGAAAAAGAAAGCAGCTTCAAGGGCAAGCTGCCAACTGTCTCAGGCTTATTTAGTGTAAACACTGACTTCAGTGACTTCAGAAAGGCTTCCTATCATACCCCAAGTGCCTCATGTTGTTTCAGAGAAATTCAAAGCCACTCCAGGCTTTGATGTTACTCCATGCTTTCAGACCCTTAGTGACCTCACTGTACCTGCTTCAGCCGATGCTGATCAAGTGCTGAGGTGGGACATGTATAGAGGATACACAGTGCCATCCTGGCCCTAATTCAAGAAGATACATCAATGCACTGGTCAGAGCAATGAGGTAGACATGGGCTCTGGCCTGCCAGGGGTGGAGTACCCCTTTCCTGTTCTGCAACCTAGCCAGATCTCTTGATCCCATTACTTTCTCCTAAGATAACCTCAGGAGAGAGGACAGTCATTGTGCTCTGGAGTTAGAGAGGGACTGCAGAGCCCCTTGACTCACCTGTGCTCTTGAGGTTGGGTTTGACTGGACACTATGAAGCTCCAGATACTGTTCTGGGGAAGCTGGAGCCTAGCTGTCCTCATATGGCTGTCAGCATGGATTCTGCGGGTCACAGCCAAGCCTAGGTTCCTGCTGGAGTCGGGCTCTTCCTCTCCTTCCCAGTTTGCTGGGATATAAGCAAATGTGCTATATGGTTCTGAGACCGCAGACAGGAGCTGGTCCTACTGACATGCCTTCCCTGACCTGAAAACTAAGCCAGAATAACTTTTTAAAGCTGCCCCTCCCGGATGTGCTCAATGTAGGGTTCTAAACGTAGTCTTTGCCCTGCACATCACAGTAGATAAGGAAGGTAAATCGTCCCAACCAAATATTGTTTGTTTCTAAATAACACTCCCAAGTTCAGAGGTGACACATCCACTCCCATGCATGTCACGCCTTTACTTTTTCTCCCTCCTTTGCTCCTTCTCCTCTCTCCCTCCTCCTTCCACCCTCCCTCCCTCCCTCCTCCCCTTCCTCCCTGTCTCCTTCCTTTTTGTGAAGATAGGCATTGAACTCTGGGAGCTTTGTATGTGCTAACCTAGTACTCTAACTGAGCTGCAACTCCAGCCCTCGGTGGTGATTTTATCACTATGGCCAGTGGCTCACCAAGCCCTAAGTGACTGTCCCAAACTTCCTGTGTTGAAACTCTTTTACTCTCACATCACACAAGTAGTGACAAGGAGGAGGAACAAGGATGGCCTCCTAGGCATGGCATCTTGGCACCTTGAGTTCTTAATTCAAGCAATATCCCGATGTTCAGGAAGCCCTGGAGAATTCTATTGCTCCTTCGTTTTGCTGGCATTCTAGCAAAGGAGCCACATTCTTTTATTTTTCCTCCCCCAATGTAATATTTTTATTAATAATTTGGGAATTTCATGGAACACACCCCAGCCACAGCCACTTCCCATTCTATCATCTCACCCCTGCCCCAAACCTGAAACAACAACAAAACAAACAAACAAAGAACCCACCAAGTTGCACACATACTCTCATTTGGAGCATGGTCAAACTCCCAGGAGAAGCCACATTCTTTACAGGCAAACGACTTTCTTACTTTTAGTTTTTCTTTATGGGTGTTTTAGCCTTTAAATGTTTTCTTGTTATCAAATATTCATTGTACAAAACCATGAATTCCATCATATTTCCAAGCAGGTATATCATGTACTTTCTTTATTCCTACCTGGTCTTGTCTCTCTATCCCTCTGTCCACTGGTCTTCCTTCTCTTCCTAAATATCCTTTTCTTAATTATTATTTATTTATTATAATCTTTTGATGCTGGGAATTCAACCCAGGGATTCATGCTAAACACATGCTTTCTGGGTGAGTTCTATCCTCAGCTTCTCTCCCTCCTACCATTTCCTCTCCTCTCCCCTCTCCTCCCCTCCCCTCCCCCTTCCCTTCCCCTCCCCCTCCTCTCCTCTCCTCTCTCTTTTTCTCTTCTCTCCTCTCCTTCTCTTCCCTTCTTTTTCCCTCCTTGTTGTATTGCTCAGCCTAGCCCACAAAACTGGGTAACAAGTGTTCCTCTTGTCATAGCCCCTTTGAATTGGGACCAAGAAGCATGCCAGCCCAGTTTGCAAAGCATGCCTGGCATAGAATGGATCATGGGGGAGGAATGGAGGAAACCCAGCAGCTCTGGAATGGGTGTATCCTGCCACCATTATCTTTTTCCAGAACAGTGCAAATCTTTCTAAGAATAAAATTTCATCAGTGTCACAGTGCAATAACTGGCTGGACATGTCCCTTGTGCTAGATATCTAGTGAAGAGCTTCACACATGACTTTAATCTATTCCTGAACCCACCCCAACAGATGTGACCTCAGGAGACTCCTTTGCAGACACTGTTGTCTACTTAAAAGATATGACTCATAATCAAGGGATAAATTTCTTTAAATTTCTCATTTAAGTAAAAATGCAAATGGCAAGACATTTGCCATTCCCTGTGTGAGACCCAGTCTATTTCTAGGATATGGGTCCATCAGGTGGTGTTTTCTATTGACTTTTCTGTTTAAACTACCAGTTTGATTTGCAGTATGCTTCTATGCTTCTCAAAAGCACACTAAGATCAAAATGACACCATTGAAATAATCTGCATACAAAAATGTAGACTATCTTACAGTCGTCTCACTTAAAAAAAAAAAGAGACTCATTTGAGATTTTACATAGCATTCATTTTTTTTCAAGAGGAAATAAAAACAATTCTTTATCTAAGTGGCTTATCTACTTCTTAATTAACTTGCATATCATAACAAGCATAGAGGGCAGCCATGGGTCTGGAGGGAAGCAGAGTTGAGAGAGGACAAGAGAAGCAGGAAGGGCTGGGAAGAGCCTGGGGGTGCCAGGCCTGTAAAATCTCTCCGTGGGAGCTAGAGCAGTAGAACGGTGGTCAGCTTAGCTTCACTATGTAGCTTCACTATGAAAGCAGGATGGGTTACAGGTTTCTGCTGCCTTGTGCCATTTCACAGTCAGTGAATCTGATGCTCTAAATGGTGAAAAGAATCCAGATCCAGGTTAGTGGAAACCTGAGACACTGCTCAAAAGTGGGAGGGCTGTGATTCTTGACACTCCATAAGCCACAGTGCTTTGCATTTATGACCTCCCAGGTTTCTAGAATGTGGCAGAGATAGCATGGCTTTCAGCAGGGTCACTGACCTGATCTTATCTGAACCTCTTCAGAGATCGTACTATAGAGTTATAGCAATAAAAAAAAAACAGACACATTGGTCAGTTGAATAGAATTGAGAACCCATATGTCAGCACATACTCCTACAGTCATCTGGTTTTTGACAAAAAAAAAAAAAAAAAAAAAAAAAAAAAAAAAGCCAAAAATATACATTGGAGAAAAGAGCATCTTCAACAAAATGGTGCTAGTCAAACTAAATAGCTATGTGTAGAAGAGTGAAACTATAGCTTTATTTCCTACCTAGCACAAAACTCCAAATGGATCAAGGACTTTTACTAAGGTCTTGATACCCTGAATCTGGTAGAAAAAGTAGGGAATATTCATGGGGGATGTCCTTCTTTGTATGTTTATCTTATTGGTTGATGAATAAAACACTGTTTGACCAATGAGGCAGGAAGATAGGTGGGATGAGGAGATAAGGAGACTTCTGGGAAAGGTGGGCAAAGGAAAACCACGAAACAGTTGCTATGTAAAGACTGGGAAGAAATGACCCACCAGGGGTTCTCCAGTAAGATAAGACCACGTGGAAATACACAGATTAATAGAAATGGGTTAATAATTAAGACAAAGCTATCCAATAAGAAGCCCTAGCCATCAGCCAACAGCTTTATAATTAATATAAGTCTCTGTGTGCTCATTTGAGGCTGAAGCAGCAGGACGTGGCAGGACAAGAGAATCTCCTGCAACAGAATATACTTGAACTCATTGGCATAGGAAAGGAATTTCTGAACAGGACACTGACAGTATAGGCACTCAGGCCAATAATTAATAAACGGGACCTCATGAAACTGAAGAACTTCTATGTAGCAAAGAAAACTGCCATTTAACCGAGGGAGAAGTCTACAGAATGGGAGAAATTATTTACCAGTTATATCATCCATATCTAAATCATACAAAGAACCCCCCAAAATAAACTTCAGAAAAACAACCCAGTTAAAAACAAGGCATGAAACTAGTTAACTAGAGAGTTACCAAAAGAGGAAATACAGATAGCTGGGAGATATTTTCAACCATATTCATCATGCTCTGCTATCAGAGAAATGCATATTAAAATTACTTTGAGATTTCAACTTATTCCTGTCAGAATAGCTAAGATTTAAAAAAAAAAATAAAATGATGACAAATGTTAGCATGGAAAGAATACTTCACAGCTAGTGGGAGTGCAAACTGGATGCAGCCACTATGGAAATCAGTGTGGCAGTTCCACAGAAAGCTAAAAATAGAGCTAACACACAATCCAGCTATGCCACTCTTGAGCACATGCTCAAAGGACTGTGTATCCTACTGTAGAGACAACTGATCAACCATGTTCAGTGCCGCTCTATTCACAATATCTGGGAAGTAGAAACAACCCAGATAACCACAAACTGATGAATGGATAATGAAAATGCAGTGTATTTACACAACAGAAGATCATTCAACTGTTAAGACAAATGAAACTGTGTCTTGAGAGATGGCTTAGTGGTTAAGAATACTTGTTGGTCTTGCAGAGAACCTGGGTTTGTTTCTCAGCACCCACGTGGTAGCTCCAGTTCCAATATTTCTTCTGACTTCTTGGGCATCAAGTACACATGTGATACATACACATACACACAAGCAAAAAGGCCCATAACACATAAAATAGATAAATCTTAAAAAAAGAAGAAGAAAAAATGAAATAATCTTCTGATGTCTAAACCCATCTTCCCTTCTTTAGAACTGGCTTCTTAGAACATAATGTCATCCTATCCCTGTCACTCCTGCTGAATGATCACCAGACAGTCTGCCGGGAGAATCTACACCAGGCATACAAGCATCTGGCTCAGCTGCCTGAAGGTATGGTTACATCCCACATGGGATCTGGTATACTATTACCCATGGTTTTCCCCTCCAGGTCAGTTTGTGCAAGGCCACAGATCACAGTCTTTGATACTTTTTTTTTCTTTTAAAAATGACCTTGGGGTGGGGCATAGTAGTGTGCAACCTGTACTTCTAGCTACTCCCAAGGCTGAGCACAGAGGAGGATCAGCCTGGAAGGCAAGAGTAAGACTGTCTCAAAACCATAGTGGTAGCAACAAAGTTACCTCTTTTGTTAAAATATGACAAAAAGTTGGGAGTGTAGCTCAGACATAGGAAAAAGACCCTGAGTTCCATTCACTTCTAAAAATTCAAATCAGTGAATATTTGGTTAACTTGTAACAAATGAAAACAAATAAAAAGCCTTGTAGCCTGTTTCCAACACTCCAAGCCTTTCCACAGTCCCCATTGTGGGTTCCTCTTCCTTAGGGTGACTCCTGCAGTTTGTAAGGCCATATGCTGGGTTGTCTGGTATATTTCTTTTCTTTTGGGAGTACTGGTTTTGAACCCAGGCTTCACATGTGCTGACCAAGACTCCATCATGGAGTTTGCATTCCTAGTTTAGTTTATGACTCTAAGTTTTATGAAAATGAGACTATCCAGTCTATACTATTTCAGTTTTAGGTGCTTTCATTTAGTGTTTCATTTCTGGATCATAAATGATTCTTTGAAGGTTAGGATTTGCATTAAGTGGGAATACTCAAATTTCTCTATTCTGCTGCTGAGGGAACATAAATACAGCCCAAATACTCTTTGTACCCTTCCTCGTCATCTCCCTTGAGTCACTAACAAGTTGTTGACAATAACCCTGCAATATGTATATAGTTTTTTTGCCATAGATATGGCATATAAAATGTATATATATATATATATGTATATATTAACATATTTTAAGTCTGTGTTAAGTGGGTCTTGCTGTATGTATCCCTTTGCAACTTAGAAATACCCAAGAAATAATATTATAATTTTGAAAATTATTACTGTATACATGATGTATTTCTCTTTACACGCAGCATCATAGTTGTTGATGGTTGTGGTGGTGGTGGTGTATGTGTGTGTGTGTGTGTGTGTGTGATGACTTGTGTGTGGAGGGTAGAGGGCAATTTCTGAACTTTTGGGAGTTGTTTCTTTTCTTCCACCTTGTAGAGATAAGGTTTGGTTTGTTCCTGCTGCTGTCCCGCATACTCCAGGCTAGCTGGCCTGTGAACTTGGCCAATTCTGGTTCCACCTTCTGTTTTGCCTTTGGGATGCTGGGATAACAGATGCCTGCTAGCTGTATCCATGTTTTAAAAACATGGATTCCAGGATAGAACTCAGGTCACCAGGATCTGGTGGCAAGCCACCTCACTGGCCCTAATATAATTCTGAAATGTACCCATCTTGTATTGAAAGGTCTTGTACTCTCCTGTACTCTTTTGTTATTTGGATATATAATTTTGGGTTTTTTTTTGTTTGTTTGTTTTGTTTTTTTGAGACAGGGGTTCTCTGTGTAACAGCTCTAGCTGTCCTGGAACTCACTTTGTAGACCAGGCTGGCCTTGAGCTCAGAGATCTGGCCTCCCAAGTGTTAGGATGGAAATTGCGCCCCATCATGACCAGCTCTTGAGTGTATTGTGACATGTCTCCATGTTGGCTGTTTCCACTTCTGGGCTGCAGAAGGAATGAGTTATGTATATCTCTGCACAGACCTTTCTAGTCCACGAGAGGGATGCCCCTAGAGTCTGCTAGGGAAGATGATTCTGGCCTCAGATGCATGCCTAACTTCACCTTTGCAGGATATCAGAACTGCTTCCCAGCCTCCCCTTCCCCAGCCAGTGGCATCCTTGTCAGTTAGATCAATGGTATGCTGTGTAAGATCATTGCTGTATGTTGTTGTCCATGGGTGTGACCGGTGAGGATGAAAATCTTTCTGCTTGCCATTACCTCAGGCTCCTCTCTGCCCAGTGCCTCTGGGGAGCTGGGATCCATCCATTCAATTAGTTCTTTTACTTCTTGTTAACCTGAAGTTGTTGTCCTAGATCCCAAGTGTTTGTTGATTGCCTGCATTGATAATATCATTTTTTCCTGGACTGCTTGGGTAGTATAATGGTTAATCTCCATTGCCAACTCAATGCGATCTAGAATTGTGTAGAAAATGGGCTCTGGGTATGTGGATGAGGGACTGTTACATGGGGTGGGAAGACCCATCCATTGTGTGTGACATCATGCCCTGGGCTGGGATCCTGAAGAAAAGGAGAAAGTGAGCTGAACACATGTATTGGTCACACACTCTGCTTTCTGACTGGGAATGTGATGTTGATAGCTGCCTCAAATTCCTGCTGCTGGGACTTTCGTGTAATGGACTATTCCTGGATCTGTGAGCCAAATAAACCTTTCCTTCCTTAAACTGCTTTCGTCAAGAGTATTTTTATCACAGCGATGGGAAAAGTATCCGAGATAGGTAGCTTCTCATTATTTGTTCATCTGTTGACCCTGAAGTTCTTCATTTGGAAGTCAGTCTCACCAGCTTTTACTTTGTGCTTTGCCCTGAGGTGAGAGATTGCTACAAAAGATGGGCCCGTTTCTCCTGAGCTCTTGAAGACATCCTGCCAGGTTTTCTAGGAAATAGGAGCCTTTATTTTTCACTTTTAGCTTGTTAAAGGTTGTGCCCTGAATGGAGCTTTGCCCATCTTCTCTCTAGACCTTACCAATAAATAAACGCCAGGATTCTGAAAGCTCTGGTGTACCAGGTTCACTTGGATGTTCCTCATCTTCCTGTAGAACCCAAACAACACAGAGTAGGGAATCTATTGTGCTGACAAGCCCACACAAGCCTTTCTGGAGCTCCTGGCACCAGCTCTTTGTCACAGGTCTTGGTGGGTACTGACCATTGTGGATGAGGTCCCCAGAAAGGAGGCCAGGGCAGCCTGGTGGAGGAATTGGCATCAAGGATTGCGGTGGTGACTGGGAAAATGGACAGAAGGAGGGAGGCATCTTGGGGTCACTGGGGTGCTGTGGCTTTTGGGTTTGCTGGTATGGCTGTATCTCACATGGTGTCCTAGTTGGACTTCTGGGTGGGGCATGGACTTCGGCTTTGGCATTTCACTTATAAGTATGTGACTTTGGGCAGTAGCTAGTTGGTGGGAGCCTGTATAGCTTGTCTGGGTGCTCAGATAGCTTGCATGGTCTGTTATGGGGCTTCCGGTCCAGGGGCACATTGGAAGGTTTTCCTTTTTTTAACCATGGCACTCTTGGTGCCTGATGCTCCTTGGCATGACTAGTGCCTGGTCTCTAGAGTGTCTTGTATGTAGCTAATATTGTTTACTAGAAGGTTTTTTTCCCTTCTCAATCCTTGGGACTACCAAGGTCTGACTTGTTCCCAGAATAGCCAGCAGGGGGTGCTGCAGGACTAGGGCCTGTCCCAGTGACTGGCTTCTCATGTCCTAAGGGGTTCTTGACCTGTTTGTTATAAGAAGAGAAACCAAAATAGAAGCGATAAATGCCACTAAGGGACTGCCAGGCCAGGTTCCCCGGAAACTGGTGGCCTTGAGTGCCCACCCAGGATCCTCTTTTGTTTCAGGCACTCACTGGGTATCTAGGTGAGTTTAGTCTGGTCCTTTCTCATGTAACTCCCTCCTGTTGAACATGGCTTTAGAAGCTGGCCCAGATATAGTAGTGGCAGTATAATTTACTGTCTCTGGCCCTGATGTGTGCTGCCTGGTCTTGGTTCAGGCCCTGGTGGTCATGCAGGTACCCTTTCTAACCAGAAGTACTCACAAATAGCCAGTGATGGAGTACAACCTCCATCTGTGGAAATCACTCCCTGGTTTCAGAGTTTAGATCTCAGTGGGGGGCAGAGGGCACCACAGGAAGATGTCTGCATGCGGTTTTGAACCTGGCAAGGTTAAGATGCTGCAGGGAGCTTCCCTGGAGTCATATTATCTGGGCTTGACTGAGATCTGGGAAGCTGTTTCCACAGGGAGCTGATCCTGCGGGGACCGGCTAATCCCTAAGTAAAGGGCTGCTGGAGAAACTTTCCCGTCATTAGGATACCTCAGTCCCAGGCAGGCCACCCTTGTTCTTCTGCAACATCTGCCCATTTCCTGGTGGCCTGTGAGCTACTCTAGGAAGCCCTCACTCCTCTTTCATCTGACACCACCACACCCATGTCCTTAAGCTGACTGTCCAAGCTGCTCCTGATCCTGGCCTTAGCTAGGATAATGCCTGGGTACAAGGATCTATTTGGTTTATGAGCTTGCTGCTGTCATTAGTTTCTGGGTAGCCCTTCCTCTCTACTGCCTGGCACCTCCAGCAGGACAGATCTGTTACCTGACTAGCCCCTGTCAAGACTGACCAGGGTCTCAGAACTTACTCTCACCATCTCTTTGGGGCCAAGCAGGCTTTCTCAGCTCCTTCCGTTAGGTTTTCATAGTATCCCCTAGGGTTCACAATAGCCTATTACCAATGGAACTGCCACAGGGACTGGGTCCCCTGGAGCCACACTCTAGGCTGTGCTGGCTGGCACCTGGTGCAGGAACTAGCCCAGTCCCGAAGCTCTCTGTCTGTGAGACGAGTCCTCCAGGCTATCACCCAGCCTCTAGTGGCTGCTCATCCTCATGGTGTAGTGCTGTCCTCCATGACATCAGCCTATGTACCCGCTGGGCCCACTCTGCCCATTGGTCTTGGGTGTCTGCTGTTATCTAGGGCCTAGACAGACCACATACAAGCTTTTTTTTGGGGCTGTAGAATGGCCAAGTTATTTGCTATGCTGTTTGGTGGTGGGAAGTTGTCCCCTCTTAGGGTCCCTACCTCTGTGTATACAGGCATATGTGTGGGTGGAGCCATAGATATCCTTGGGGTTTAGTCCTTGGCAACTGTCCATCTTGTTATTTTGATATAGGGTATTTTACTGGGATGTTGGCTAGGCTGGCTAATAAGCTCCATGGACATGTCTATTTCCACCTCCCCAGTACTGGGATTACAAACCCTCACCACAAACTTCTCATGTGAATGCTGAGAGTTGAACTCTGATCCTCATGCTTGAACAGAAAGAACCTTATCAACTGAGCCATTTTCCCAAGCTGTTTTCTTCATTTGTAAAGCAGAACCAACCATCTGAACTTCTTAGGAGTGGGGTGCAGAGCACAGCTATTGAGGGCAGCCAGCATCACTGTAATTAACCACCACGGCTGCCCTGCATCAGTGACCGCACAAGCCAATGAGAAAGGTGGTAGTCCTGGATGGTCTTGGGAGAGAGGCTAGACAGTACCCACAGAGGGCGGGCCAGTCCCTTCAGCTATCATCATCAGCTTCTCACTTATTTCCTTTGTAAGTCCTGCTACCAATTTCCCTGCCAAAGCTGACTATTGGTATTTATCTTGTAGGCCTCTCCTGGGCCTCTTAGAGTCAGCCTGTGCCCTTAGGGGAAGATGGGTCAGAGAGTACCCTGCAGATGAATCAGTGGAACTTGCTATATCATACTGACCTGAATTAGTGGAATCTGTGCATACTGACCTGGAGTGGGTGAACATGGGGAGGTGGGGGCATGGGGAGAGATAAAACCTTCAGGCAGGGCTGAGGTGGAGAGAAGCTTTCTAGGACTGTGAGGTTGGAAGGCAAAGGGAAGAAGGGAATCACCACAGGTGAACTGTAATGGTTCACTGTAAGGCCAAAGAGGTCTGTCTGGGGAGGACATGATGGCTGATAGTGATTATGAACTTACAGGATCTAGACTCTCCTAGAAGACAAGGCTCTGGACAGTCAGTATAGATTAGCTCAGCCATTGGACAAGCATGTGAAAGATTATGTAGACTGGGCAATCGGGGAGGGAAGACCCACCTTGATTCTGGGTAGCACATGCCACACACTGGGTTCTAGATGGAATACAAAGGGCAAGTGAGCACTCACGTTCCTGACCATGGATGCAATGCACCAGCTGGGCTCCTACTGTTATGACTTTCCCACCATGATGGCCTGGAATCTCACATTGTGAGCCAAAGTAAACCCCTCCTTCCTTAAGTTGCCTTTCTCGGTTATTTTAACCATAGCAACAGGACAAGTAACCAATAAAGGGCTCGGGAGGGATCAAGAGAAGGTGTCCATGGGGCTCCAGAGGAGTGCCATTTCCTGGGTCAGACCTCCTCTGCTCCCTGCACACACCAAGGGAGGCAGACGCTTTCATTTTCCTTTCAGCCGTGTATTTTTAGTTAAAGACGCTCACAGTGAAATTAGTTTTCTGTTTCACAGTTGGTATTGAAAGCACAAAGGATTTCTCAGTGACTTACAGTCAAACATTTTATCTCCTTAAACAAAAGGCCCCTTGGGTTTTTACCATTGGTGACACGGGGACATGCAAAGGAGATTCCCACATAGGTAGGAGGGTGGGTGGACCAGAGACCCAGGTCTGTGTGTCTGTACCTTAGAGAGACCCAGGTCTGTGTGTCTGTACCTTAGATCTGAGCACATTTGTGTGGATGTCGGTTGCCCTACGTTCAGGGTTCTGTCAGGAGTTCTCCTTGGAGGAAGCAGTTTTGGGGTGATCCTGTGCATCCCCCCTCCTGGATTCCCACCCCATCGACATGCAGTGCAGGGTGGGGATCCAAGCACCCTCTCCCGTGTTCCCCATAAAGAACAGCGAGTTGAACTGACTTGAGAGAACCCTCCAATTGCTTGATTCCTGACCTTAATTTTAGGATGCCTTCCTGACTAAGGTGGTCACCACTGGCCACGTGCAGAGGTGCTGAGTATTACTGGAATTCTAAGGAGTCTTACCGTACTTGAAACAGGCCCTTGTTGGGCCTATCTCCATGGCCCTAAGTACCTCTAACCACAAAAACCAGCTAGTGGGCAGCCTAGGATCTGCCCTATACTTTATTCCTTCCAGAAAATCAACTCACACCCCTCAAGAGCTTATCCATGGAGTAAGGGGTCCCAGAAACAGTACAAGCAGGGACAGTGCTGGGTGGGGTCTTGGGAACAGCAGAATGGGGTTAGCACCATCATCATTGAAAACCTTCTATCCGAGGGGGCCCGGTAGTTCTATTCTCTTTTGTCGCTCCCCCCCTTAAAAGTTTATTCCTCCTCAACTTTCGTCCCAAAATGATTTTACCTGTGCATGTATATAGACATGAGGAAGGAGTGGGAGGGACCCCAGCATCTTTTGATGGCGCCAAGTTAAGCTACACACGAGCCACACACAGCACACAGGAACAAGGTTTGGCTCCATTCAGGGTATTTTATTTTCTTAAAGTAGACACTCTTTGACTTTTATATGCTCATCAGCTCTTCTCTCCCTCTGTACATCCCAACTCCATGGCTGCGATTCTGTACATTGACGTTAGACTCATGGGTACCAAACAAAGGGTTGAAAGGGATTTGGCAAGGGCTTTAGTGGTGCCATCCATCCCTTTGGCGACAGGGGTTCTGTATTTATACACTTCCAGGGCTCTTTCAAGACCAGTGCCTGTGGATCCCCCACCACCACCCGGGGTTAGAAGACCTGGAATGCAGGGTCCCAGCAAGGCTTCCTTCAGGCCACAACTCTGGCTGTGCCTTCACAGGAGTCTGAGCAGCTCCCAGCACACCTCAGGCTTGGAGTATTTGGGGACCCGGGAGTGTACCATCTTTTGCCTCCCCTTCCTTCATTTGGCAAAGCCATAGATAATTTACACTTTAAATACCAAGACATTTAGCTATTGTTCATTCGCTCCTAGGTAAAGAACCTTCTGTAAATACATCACATTTATTTTTCTTAAATAAAAACAAAGCAGAAAACGGCACCAATGACAAGAGGACGTTGCAGAGGCTTATGTACATTATGTCCCATGAGGCTGGCGTCGGGGAGCCATTTGCCCCAGAATTCTTTGGAGCTGAGGAGCAGAATCGTCCAGATGACAACTTCTATACTCAGCAAGCCAGACACAAAAAGGGACACCTGAAATGAAACGTATTTTGAAAATCTGCATTTTAAAAAAGAATATTTAATCACATCAGAAACTGTAGTTTTTGTTTTGTTTTGTTTTTCTGCGAAACATAAAATTTGGCCAAAAATAAAAATTAAAAAAAAAAAAAGATGCTAGAGAAGAAAAACCAGGTTTCCATTTATAAAAACATCAGACCAGCAGAAGGGAAGCTGGAAACCCAGCTGGCCTAGTTTGAAATAAATGATACCACTCATTTTCCTGGGTTAATTTTTGCTGCATATGTTTTAGCTGTTTAAAAAGAGCCACCAGTGGTTAGAGGTCCGATTCAATCAGTCACTTGTTTCCTCAGGTCCTAGGTATAGGACACATGTGGTGCAGAGTGGCTGAGTTGGGTGTAACTAGCAGGGAAGGTTCACACAGTCCCTGCTCCGGGCCTCTCTCCTGGTCAGTGGTAGTCCCCAGTCCAGAGCTCAGTTGGTGAGCTGGCCTTCTTCCAGGCAATGTGCACAACTGGCCGGACCTGGTCCCAGTCCTGCAGCCTCCCCCCCCCCCAGCAGTCCAATGTGAACCCCCATGCAGAGTGGGGCCAACTCAGGAAGGCAGAGTGAAGGGGGCGAATGGGTCCTGGATGAACTCATGACAGCAGCTCTTTAAGACTTCAGGAAACATTGACTCTGCCATCTTCAGGTGTGAATGTGTGCATGTGTGTCTGTGTCTACCTACCTAGCAATCTATCCAAATATAGTTATGTTTGCAGAAACGTAGGGCCATGAAGGCAGAGGCTGGGTGGGTGGGGGGAGTGGGACACATCCTTCAAGCCCCCTGTTTTCTGCCCCTGGGGTTGGGCCTCTCTAGCATGAGCTGGGGGTGTGTGTGACACCCCGTGGGTTTCACCACAGGCAAGCAGGCCATGCCTGGCTCCTCAGCAAAGGCCAATGTACTTGAGATTGTTTTGAATAATGACATCTGTCACCGCATCAAAAACAAACTGGATGTTACTGGTGTCGGTGGCACAGGTGAAGTGGGAATAGATCTCCTTGGTTTCCTTGTTGCGGTTTAGGTCCTCAAACTGACGCTGGATGTAGACGGCGGCCTCCTCATACGTGTTCTGACCCTTGTACTCTGGGAAGCAGACACTGAGAGGGATTCGCCGGATCTTCTCTGCCAGGAGGTCTTTCTTGTTCAGGAAGAGGATGAGCGAGGTGTTGATAAACCAGTTGTTGTTGCAGATGGAGTCAAACAGGCGTAGGCTTTCGGCCATTCGGCTCTGCAGTTGTGAGGAGGGAAGTGGTACTGTTAGTCTCGAAGTGAGCAGAGAGAGAGAGAACTTAGACCCACAGCCCTGCCAAGGGAGTGCCTCCTGAGACTGCCCACCTAGTGCTAACCCCTCTAACTCCTCCCGGGTAGCATCAGACTTCTGGTAGGACCCTGTCCTTCCTTCTTTAGGTTAGATCAGCCTTTACCCATCTCCCTCAGAAATAGCAGACAGTCTACTTCACCTTGAGTATCTAGTAGTTTCTTATCCTTTCAGGATCCTTCCTCTGGGTAGTGATGCTCCAATGGCCTCAGTATGTGGTATGGGGCTGGGGCAGTGCCCAGTCTAACCTCCTTGCGCCCTGGCAGTTCAGGACCCTCCATACTTACACTGAGGACCTGACATATTTCAAACAGTGCTAGCTCCCGGACCTCTCCACACCCATACTTGGAATGTGAGTTCTGCGTTTCACACAGTCTCCCCGAAACCTTAATTCTGCCATAGGGCACATGCAGAGGGGCAGCCTGTGCTTCTGTAAGCTGAATGGTTGCTGACATTGTACCTTGCACCTGTCCCTCTGCCCTCCTCCCCAACTGGCTTTACAGACTTGTATGCAGTAGATGACTGGCTGGCTGTGTTCTCTGAGCAGGAAGACTTGCGCATATAGAGTGAGGGTTGACATCCTGGGATAGAGTTGTGACTAAGTGACAAAGCATGGTCCTGGTCCCTCCCACTGTTTGCCTCTCTTCTTTTTTGAGGACATGTACAGTGACTTTGAGGACATGCATAGTGACTTTGGGCCTTAAGGGGCATTTCTGCCCCCCCCTACCTGGAACATGGACCAATCTCATTTCTGTAGTGAGTAACTGTCCATATCTGGAAGTTATACCCATCCCTTTCAGATAAAGTGAACAAGCCAAGTTCCTAGATAAATCTAAGCCAGTTTTACACCATCATCAATTGAGATACTGACAGTGAGTGAGGCTGGCATTGACAACATGGACACAGGGCATCAGCAGCATCCCCAATGATTACAGTGATAATGATGATGGTTCTGGCCCGAGGTTCTGCCTGTGCAGACCTCACACCACCCTATTTCCATCTTACTGATGGGGAAACTGAGGCACGGAGAGGTAAGAATTGTGCTTCAAGTCTCTCACCAGGAGCTATAGGCTTGCAGTCCCATGCAAGGAGTGGCCTGGGAGCAGAGTATCACACAGGAACCAGCTTTCCAGATCCCGTGTTCTCTGAGACACAGGCTTTGGCAGCACCTCTGCTAGAGGAAGCAGATGTGCAGAAAGGGGAGGGTGGACAGAAGTACCCATCATCATTATCCCGAGACCTGCCTACTCGGGAAAACTGTGCTTTGCAGATCCATTCTTTAGAGTTGATACAACCAATACAGAAGAAACTCTGAAAAGCAAGCAACCCTAGGTTTTGGCATGGTCTAAAGGGACCTTTCCACCGAGAATCAGGAAGCAGGATCCCAAGCCCAGCAACACAGGAGGGAACCAGACCTGGATGTGATGTTCTCCAAGTGAGATCAGTGGGTGGTGGTCTAGGAATGTTACATTCTACTGGGAGAACAATTAGCTCTAATGGATTCCTGGAAAATGCAGTATAAAGATGACTGTGGGAACTGAGCTGTCACTTCTCATAAAAATGATGTCATAATTGGGGCTTTTGCTTCTGACTCCAAATTCTGTATCAGATATGGCTATTAGCACATATTCTTCAATTCATTGAGCAGGCTTGCTGAGCATGTCCTGAGTGCCCGGAGGCCCCATCTCTCACCGCCAGATGGAGGAGGCTCAGAGCCTCGAGCCTTGACAGGGATACTGGAATCCATTCATGGGTGGACTTGGGGGGCTTCTCCTGGGCTGAAAGGAGGATGGGAAGCTCAGAGTGGGGAGGAGGGGGGATGGTTCCCTTAGCCCCAGTTGGTCACTTGTGATGACGGCAGAAGTGATTCCTGGACCCGGGTCAGCCCAGGACTGTTTAGAAAATGGGATGCAGCTTGTGGGCGGTGGTGGGAGGGGGACCGTCTAAAGGTGCTGTAATGGTGCACAGCTTCTGGCCAGGGATCAGTCTTCTTAGGGCGTTTGTGGGAGGAGTTCAATTGCAGGGACCTTTAGGGGTAGCAGTAGGTAAGGCCCAAAGACCATCCCTGAGACTGCCTCGGCTTTCTCTTCCTATTATTGTCTGAGTGCACTGTCGTCTCCTTTCTACCCCAGCTGTCTGAACTGCTTCCCTGCTGGTGCATCTCATAGACTTTGGGGACCTGGCATGACTAAACCTTGCATCTGTGACTCAAGACATCATGGAACCAGGCACCTAGCTCACACAGTGGCAGGTGGCAGTGGGGATAGGACTAGGTGTCTAGAAAACAGACTCTCCCTTCTCACATCCAGGTTTTTTTTTTTTTTTTTTTTTTTTTTTTTTTTGCTTTGCCATAGTTCAAGTTCAGGTTTTCTGGTGACCCCTTCCTATTTTTCTGAGGATGGCAGAACCATCGTCTCTTGGGAGATGATGTGCCACAAATCACACTTGTCCCCATGGTCCCATCTCCTGGGACCTGACCAGTGGGACTCAGAAAAGTCTGTAGGGGCACTGGTGGTGCATCTAGTCTGTAGGCTCACAGAGATATGGGGCTTCAGAGCAATGACCGTCCCTGAGCTAGCACAGGTGTTCCCCGTGCTAGCCACTTCCTTCTGTCCTCCAGAGATCCCCGATGCTGGGAGCGATGTCAAGTATGTGAGCACTGAAGCTCTGTAAAGTGGATAAGCACAACTGCCCTGGGAGCCAATCAGGATGGTTGGTTAGAAGGCACAGCATGGTCAGAGTAGCTCTAGCACATGACCCCTCTCAATGTGCGGCCTGGCAAGTAAGGCAGGTACCACGTCCTGCAAGAGGCTCTGTGACTGCCTGTGGCTCCCTGGTAGAGACAGGACAAAGAACCACAGGTGATCACAATCAAGACCCTGTCCACATGAAGATGAGCACAGGATCCAGTGGCCAGGAAGGGGACTTGCACTTGGCTCCCAAAGAGCAACCATAGAGGTGATGGTGGGAACTCTGATTTGCTGCCCACAGATGGGCTCAATGCCCTTAGACTCAGTTTCACAGTGGTGGCCACAGTCTTGGAGACTCGTGTGCACTGAGGCACCCTGCTAACTCAAATCACCGTCATTGGAGGAGCCATGCTATTCCAGGCTGTAACTCTAGAAGCCATGCAATGCAAGGGTGAGAATGGGAGGGCTGAAGTTGGCCTTTTGCCTGATCTCCGGGCTTTGCCACTGAAGCACCCCTCATCCATTCACGTTCTGCTTTTCTTGTAGGACATCACCTCAGGCCCCTTCTTCTGGGAGGCTGCTGCCTATCTCCCTAAACCACATCTGGCTATGTCCTAGTCAGTCTGTGGGGTATCTCTCCCTGTTGGTTCTCCATTCTTATCTGTTCGCCTTCATGGGTCACAGCTGCTTCTAGAGGTGGCACGGTGGGGACTTATTACCCCCTAGTCAGGTAGCAACAAGTCCACTAGCCCAACACAACATATGTTCTTTTGATCCTGGAATCTGAGGAGCTGCCAGCAAGCAAGTCACCAGCCTACTTGTTGGGGTAGAATAGGAGTGGGGAGGCTTTCTCCTTTCACACAGGGACTGAGCCCCAGGGTGGTATTGATTTGCCAGAGCTAGGTAAATAACCATAATATTCTCTTCTGGCATGACATCCCATTACCTTTACCTCTCCAGCCACCAATGGTGCAGCAACTGTGCAGGCACACGTGCTGTGGTCAGTAGTTGCTATGAGGCCAGCCACGGCATCACCTCTCAGCTTTGAAGGGTTCTTCCACTATGGAAACTGACATTTCCAGGAGGCTGGGGGCTCATCTGAACATTGGTTTATATAAATAACATCAAGCATATGACTCTGACAGCAGGCTGTACAGTGTGGGAATGTGGGAATCTTGCTGCCTGGTGGTAGGAACCAGTGATCTGTAACAAGCCACGTCAGCCACATCGTGGCTGTCCCCAGGGTGGGTTGCTACAGCTGCATTTTGCATATCTGTTTAGATGGCTCTAAATGTGCTCAACGCCACATAACCTCTTTTACCCCAGGGTGGTGCTTGCTTCCACTTGGATTTCTTACAATGGGGTGGGGAGCTTATGGCACATTCCTAAGGACCTTCAAACATGCTGGCCTGAGAATCCTGGGGTCTCCTTTCCCAGTACCGCCTCTAGGGGCCAGTACCTGTGATAGCCCAAGCAGGACTGAATCCTAGAATGATTGTTTCTTCAGGGAGACCAGATGCCAGAGTTTATGTCAGGTTAGCCATTTGGTTTCCTTTCAGTACACCTGGTGACACACAGTGGTAGATTTTCCTGGTTATGCATACAAGGTCTGAGGCTCATTTTTAACTTCACCCTCCTATAGGCACTGGCTGAACTTCTAAGGATGATCTGGACCTTTGTGATGGGCAATCTCCCACTCTGTTCCTACCTGAGTTAAAATGCTCACTTGGAACCTAATGTCCCACACGGGCCCAGCCCTACTACTCAAAACACCATTCTCCCTTGTCAGTGCCTCACACCCTTCACCTGTGATGAGAGGTTGAGGTCGGCAGCTCCCAAAGATGAAATTAAAAAAAAAAAAAACCCAAAACAATCAAACATGGATACACATATAACCTGGAGTTCATGTGGGTCCTAAGTCCTTTACCTACGTCAGAGCCCTTGGTTTCCCACTGGTACATGTCCAGATGTGCCTGACCAAATACCTCACCACACAGGGCCCAGTGTTGGGTTTGCATTTGACCACTGCCTTCCTTCCACATAAAAGAATAAACAGCTTTGCTGCCACAGCCATAAAGTTCTTGTACTGGCTGGCTTTGTAAGTCAACTTGACAAGCTAGAATCAGAGGGGAAGGAGCCTCAGTCAAGGAAATGCCTCCATGAGATCCAGCTATAAGGCATTTTCTCAATTAGCGATCAATGGAGGAGAGCCCAGCCCAC